CAGTGGCTCCAAACAAAGCGTGCCAGCTCCTTAGCGTCACCACAGGCTGTCCATGTCCCCTGCTTCCTGACTCCCTCCCGTCTCTCTCCAATGCCATTTTCGTCTACCCACTCCAGGTTCCAGCCAGTGAGAACCATGATCCATTCTACACACCCACAGTCTTGGGTGCTTTTAAATATTTGCCTTCCCACTGTGAAATGTTGTCTCTGGTGCTGCTGTTCTCCTCTGCCACTTGGTGGCTATGACTTCAGACAAACTGTTTTAACCCATCTCTGCCTGTCAGTTAAGGTGTGGAATCTGTTGACAATAAGTGTAGACGCTTCTTAATGTTATTTTAGGAATTAAATGAAAAAGTCTAGGGAAAGAGCTTAATGTTATGCCTATAACAATAGCGGTTCGCTATATATTAGTTACATTATTATTATTATTATTATGTGTTACCACCACCTATTTTACCCATTTTCACAGGTTCATAAGTATTATAACTCTGTATACAATTGTCCAATGTTTGACTTCTTTTTCACTTTTGATCAGCCTTGAATGGAAAGACTGACTTTAACTAGTAAATCGTCTGCATCTGGAACATTGAATGTCATGTTGCTGCATAATAAAATGATTATTTCTGTTTTGTCTCTTGTGGATTTCGGAAATCCATGCTCATTTTTTAATATTTCTGCTCTATTTTGAAAGAAAGAGCAAATAGTGCACCTTAAACTAAAGCTGTCACAATACCCCCATGCTCTCCTATTACCCACAATTGGTGCTGTCCTCTCAGATTTTCAGAAGACCCCTTTGACATTAATCTGTAGGATCCCCAGGGTCCCCTTCTTCCTCACCTTCGCTCCTTTCCTGGGTACTTGCCAATAGTCCTGTTTAACCCTTTTCTTTGTGTCCCAGTAAAGCATGTGACCGCCAGAAACAGAGAAGGTTCCTGCTGAAATACTTTCCATTAGGGCCATTGAAAGCTGATCAAGTTTAGCCTGGCAGTATTTAGTAGATGCCTCTTCATTCTGCAGCAAAAATCTCTCCTTATTCTCCTTTAGGATTTCCTGCAAGGGAAAAGTAGAGGAATGTCACCAGAAGAAAGGAACAAAGAAGATAAAATTACAAAGAATCTGGCGGAAGGAACTCTAACTGTGGTCCTCATGAGAAAAGCATTCTGTTGGAGAAGGAACAGAGAATAAAACAGGAATCATGAGACTTGATTTACTCACAACCCTGAGAAATCTCTGCAATGCAGGGGAAATCTTAACCTTCTGGCGACTCAAGTTCTTCATAAAAAATACTGGAGTTGCATCACCAAATCTCAATGGTTTGTTGCAGCTGCAGCATTCAATAACTCTATTTTTAATGATGCAACAAGGGGCAATAAAAGTTGAAATACCCTGGAATAAGACTCTGTTAAGAGAAATTTGGTGCCTAGATACTGGATCCATGAGTGAGAGAAGAAGCATGGGGTTAATATAATCGCATTTAGGCTTCACTGTTTGAGGGGAAGAGTCACAAAAGGTAAATATCGTGTTTCCCCAAAAATAAGACCTAACTGGTAAATAAGCCCCAGATGATTTTATCGCTTTTGTGTGGACCATCATTCTTAACTGTCATCATTTTTGTTGCCACTCCTGTCTCGTAATGTAGATTGTTTTACGTGAAAAAATGAGACATCTCCTAAAAATAAGCCCTAACACGTCTATTGGAGCAAAAATTAATATGAGACCCAGTCTTATTTTCAGGGAAACATGGTAAGTACTAAGACAAAGTACCACAAGATCTTTCTGGAACTTTTGGTTTTCATCCTTGAAGGAGTGCTTCATGAAGATTTCAATGGCTTTCTTCTCACAGGCTGCGTGCAGGTCCAGCAGCTCCTGGAGCATGTCTGTGGGGAGCCTCACTCGCTGGGCCATCTGCTCACTGTAGTGGTCGGCTGCCTTCTGCACGGCCGCTGAGTTTTGAAGCTGGGCCAGAGCTGTCACTGTGGTCTCCAGACAAGGAACTGCTCCTTTTTTAATGGTATCCACATAGGTCACCACCAGAGTCCCCAGCCCTGATTAAGCCAGGAAATTTAGGGGATGAATTTAAAGTTATCACTCAACAGGATCCAAGATTCTAAGACTACATTTCAGAATATTTCTCTCTCTACTTCCCTCTCTCTCTCTCTCTCTCTCTCTCTCTCTCTCTCTCTCTCTCTCTCTCTCACACACACACACACACACACACACAAACACACACACACACACACACACACGAAATCTACCTTCTTCTATCATCGCCTTCATTTTTCTACTGACTCTTAACTTTTATGGTTCTTCAGGCCACAGGGTTAAGAAAAATTAAGCAACTACCTCATCTATCATACTAAAGGGTGTCTGGAAAACATAATTTCCCATTAAAAAATTAAAAGCAAAATTGTTTGCATAGGTAGACAGATATGGCAGGGTAAATGAGATCTATTTTCAGGGGTTCATGGGCTAATATTTGTTAATGGACTGCTCCAAACTCCCAAATATCTTTTATATTCTCCTTACAAATTACACTTATTATTCAGGACTTCCCTTGAGAAAACAGTACATATATTTTTATACCTAGTTACAGAATTTATTATCAGTAGAAGATTTTATCAAATATGTGGAAGGCACAGATATTAAATAAAGTTTGTAATTTTGGAGAGGAATTTGTAAATTAAAAAAAATGAGGTAATTATAAAATACACATATTTCTTCATGGGGTAGACCCATATTTGTAGACCCATTGCTCTATATAGAATCAAACAAAAATGCTTGAAAAAACATATCATATAATTTATTCAAATGTATTAGGCCTGACAGAAATGTGAAAAGGAGACTCACATATCCCACTGACCTTGATTCCCTCTCTAAGGGTGTTTGTTCTTGCCTGGCTGAAGCTATAAGGACAGAAATTCTTTGTTCCTATCATTCAAGATCCAGCTGTGTTTCTGTCACTTTCTCAATATTGACTAGGAGGTCTTTGTATTTTGTTAGCCAGTCAAAGACAAAACACTTCCGTTTTGGGAAGAAATGCTGGATGCACTCTCTGGGGAGATTAGACATTTGAACTTTGCGATTTCTGCCTAAGGGATAAAAAAAGGAAAACAAAAACAGAGATTACAGTAGCAAAAGTCTGAGGGCTAAGGATGTAAAAACTTTTATGACAGGGATTTTTGTAACTTTTGCCATCTATTGTATTTTCACCACTTTTAACTAGAAGTTCTATTTATAACTCCCTTAGTATGAAGATCTAATGCTTCTTAAAACATCAAACTTACCAATGATAAAGCTCTGAGTAGAAATTTGAGGAGAGATCTAACATGGTAATAAGAAACCTATTTCTGTTATTCTCAGGCCTAAACATGGTAGGCTATTGTCTCTATTGTTTACTGAATGATTGACTAACAGAAAAGGGGTTCAAATGTAAAAGTTTCATCTACTTGATCCCATGTAGAAACTGAGTTGTGGGACAAAAGGAAGAGCCACAAACAAGGGATAATGGAGCAATATTAGGAATGACACCCTGATTATTTAAGGAAAACTGTTTGGATGCTAAAAATCTTGTCTAAGGATTAGCTTTTGTTTTTAGCAAAAACCTCTGGAGAGTAAATAAAAATAAAATGTAATTTTAAGAGGTCACTATTAATCTCTGTACTCTTTTTAAAAAGCACTATATTTGATTTCACAGTGTTGCTCTGCCTAGCCAATTTCTCATTGTTTTGAAAAAGCATAAATAGAAACATGAAGACAGGAATAAATAAATAAGTTGGAATTGATATTTCTCTCAAAGTCATTAGATACTCACCCATGTAAATATAACCCATTAAAATAATTTATTATTTTGAAATCGCAATAGACCATGTAAAACAACAGCTTGGTTCCCAATTCTCTCCTTCAAACTGAAAGGAGCAGAGAAGACTTTACTTAAATATTCTAAGCTGGCAGGGGTTGCCTAAAAGACTTGTCTCTCTTCTACTTAATTTGGACCTCAGTCAGGGAGAAACAGAGAACATAGCTTGGGAAAGCGGCAGGGAGACTGACCTTCAGATGCTTGCAGCAAGACATTATGGGTTTATGATATTATGCTTTATATTAAAAAAGATTTATTTGGTCTTCCTTCTTGTTGCTGGCACACAGCTCCTAATACCCTTGTAATGTCCTAAGTGATAATGGGGAATGGGAGAATATTTTGTTATAATATTTGGTCTTTTGTCCTCAGATCCTGAAATACCTACAGGGAGATAAAAGTGAAACGACACTCTTTTATTATTTGTAACAAGCCCTTTTAATTACATCTAGGTTTATATTAATAAGATGACTTTGGAAAGCTCCTAGATAATCACAGAATGGAGGGTGGTTTCTAGAGGAACCAACCACATGATTAGAGAGTTGAACTTTCTGCCTCACCCCAGAACATGCAACCTCCTGGGAGGGGAGAGTGGCTAGAGGTTGAGCTAATCACCAAAATGACTTAATCTATTGTGTCTTATGAAGCCTCCATGAAAAACCCTAACTGAAGGTGTTCAGGAAGCTTCTGGGTTTGTAAACAATGGAGGTGCTCAGAGACTGGCATGTCCAGAGAGACCATAGAGGTTCCATGCCCCTTCCCTTATACCTTGTCTTATGAATTTCTTCCATCTTGCTATTCTTGAATTTTATCTTTTTTAAATAAACCATTAATCTAGTGTGAACTGTTTTTTCTGACCTCTATCATCCATTCTATTAAATTATTGAACTTGAGGAGGAGGTTTAGGGAACTTCCAATTTATAGTTAATTAAACAGAAGTACAGATAACACCTGCACATGTGTTTGGCATTTAAAGTGGGGCAGTTTTGTGGGACAGAGTTCTTAACCTATGGGATATGCACTATCTTCATGCAGTTAATGTCAAAATTGTTTCCTGTGAAAAACTGACCACTCATGTGGTGACCAAAGTGAAGTATTGAGAATAGACTGTTGAGGGGAGAAACATAGTTTTTCATTTCAAGGAAAGACTCTTTGGGAAATTAAGACATTTAAAAGCAGTAGGTATATGGGAAAATTTTAAAAGCCAAAACACAGAGGCCCAGGGAAGATCCATGTTAAGAAAATACCTAAAACACATTAAGGTTTCTCTTAGGATAACACCAAGACCCAAAACCAAGGGACAGCTAATTAGTAAGAGTCTTTCTCAGCACAAAGTCCATATGCAAAGACTAAAAAGGGTGGCTATTTTTATAAATGCTCAATTTTTAACACCAACAAAATCGCAAGGCATACAAAGAAACAGAAAACTATGGCCCACTCAGTGAAAGAAAATCACTGGCAGAAAACATTCATGAAAAAACACAAGCATTTGATGCACTAGGCAAATACATCAAAATAACTTTCTTAAATATGATCAAAAATCTAAAGAAAAACACAAAGAACTAGAGAAATATATGAACAAAATTATTATATCAACAGATAGAAGTTATGAGAAGTAGCCAAACAGAAATTCTGAAACTGAAATATACAATAAATGAATTTTAAAATTTCCTAGAGGGTTCAATATTATACTTGATCAGGCAAAGAAAGAATCAGCAAACTAGAAGATAAAATAGATGAAATTATCAAGTCTCAGGGGTCGAAGGAAGAATGAAAAAAACGAACAAGGCTGAAAGATTATGGAACACCAAGAAGCCAGCTGATATATGCATTATGGAAGTCACAAATGATGGAGGGAGAGAGAGTAGTTGAAGAAATAATGACCAAAACAATTCCCAATGTGATGAAAGACATGAATCTATGAATCAAAAAGAAGCTTAGTTACTTCAAGGAGGACAAATCCATAGAGATCCACAATGAGACATATTATAATCAAATTGTCAAAAGACACAGAGAGAATCTTGATAGCAATGAGAGAAAAGCAAATTGTTACATATGATAAGATTATAAGCCAATTTCTCATCAAAGACCTTGAAACTTAGAGGCAGTGAAATGATATATTTAAGTGCTGAAAGGAAAAAAACTATAAATCAAGAATACTATAACCAACCAAACTGTCCTTCAAAATGAGGTGGAGCTTAAGACATTCTCAGATTTTTTTAAAAAAGGGTTTTATTACTCCTAAAGGGAGTCCTTCAGGTTGAAATAAAAGGATGCTAGACAGTAACTGGAAACTATATAAAGATCTCCGGTAAAGTAAAATACATGGGTAAATATAAAAACTAATATTATTGTAACTTGGGATTTTAATTCCACTTTTATTTTCTACAGTATTTATGAGGGAAATGTATAAAAATATAAATCTATTTTACTAGATAGACAATATATAAAGATGTAGGGCCGGCCGAGTGGCGCGATGGTTAAGAACTCGCTTGGGATGCCAGAGGGCCCCGGTTCGGATCCCACATATGAGGGCCAGTGACACTGCCCTCTGCAGCTAAGATGCTGAACAACAGCTCAACCTGGAGCTGGGCTGCCATGAGTCGCCGGCAACGGCGTGGGCTGCAGTCCCTGTGGCAGTGGATTGCCATGGGCTACCGTGTGTGGCCAGCAGCCAGCGTGAGCGGCCAGCAGCCGCAGTGAGCGGCCGTCCAGAAGCCGGCGACTGATCTGCCTCGCCAGAGAAGAGCGCAATGATGGTGCCAACTTGGGCCAGTGAAGCAACATCCTCCACAACTAGATTGAAGAACAAAAAAACAAAAGCAACTTGTCTGTTCCCCTTTCCCCCATTCCCCAGCACTGTTCCCATCCCCCCAATTCCCCAATAAAAATCTTTAAAAAAAAATAAATAAATAAAAATAAAGATGTAAACTTTGACATCAATAACATGAAGTGGAAGAGAGATGGTGAAGCAGTAAAGGAGAGCTTTTACATGTAATCCTCATGTTAATCACAAACACACAAAAGCTATAGAATGTACACAAAAAGCAATGTGAAGGGAATCACAATGTGTCACTACAGAAAATCTGAGGACTTCTGATAACATGGTGGAATAGACAGACGCTGTGTGGCCTGCCTCCCAGGATAGATAGTTACTTTTAACTAATAAAGATCAGAGATGTGGGGACTAAATTATGTCCACATAGAGATTACAGAGCTCTCACTCCAAAGCTTCATTAAGTATGACTAATAGAAAGATTAGAAAGAAATATCTCCTTACATTATAATGGCCTGTAAGGTTCTTGATGGAGACAACTGTTCTACGCATTCTAACGCCTGCCTCAGAACCTGACAGAGCAAGGCAGACAGGCCCCCGCGGAGGCCCTTTCCACTTGACTTGCTGATGCCCTGAGTCGATGTTAGGGGAGGAGCACATCCAGGGGGACACCGTGCACCTGGCTGTCACTTGGCAGAGAAGCTGAGCTCCCCCAAAACTAAAGCCAGCCACAGACCCCTGCAATCCAGACAACATGCCGCCTGCCTTTCCTGCCCATTCCACAGTTGTCACTCTGAAACAGAAATTAAGTGTTGAGTTCCAGACAAAGTGACATGGAAAAGAAGATGGGCAGACCTGCCCTGTCGCACGAACGTCCAAGAAGGGTTTCAGCTGCCGCTAGCACCGACTCACTTGCTCCTTCACCTTTCTGCCCCTCCCTTACAGGAGCTAAAAAAGAGACTGAGAAAGCTAGTCTTTGGACCAGTAAAATGATGTGATAAAACTGAAATTAAAAGTGAAAGTCGTTTGTAGCATTTACAGAATTAGCTGAGGCATGCTGCACCAGCTGAGAAGGGCAGGATTACGGGAGTTTGGTGCAGGGTGAGAGGAGGTTAGAAACATCCAGTTACTAAACAGTCGCACCTTAGGAAGCACACTCCACCGGCTGTCTTGTGCCCTCTCCATCTTGAAAGGCTTTCACTGCCTCCCTTCTCAATACCTCTCTGCCAATTGGCTTAAGATTCCTTGGCATACAAGAAAAACAAAAAATTCATGGCGAGGCAATATAAACCATTTTCTCTTTTGGGGTTCCTGAGGGTTTTTTTAGTGAGGGACTTTTAACAGTTTAGATATGTTCCCTGATATATATATTTAATTAACCAAGTATCTTCTACAATAAAATCATTAGACAATAAAGATAAGTAAAATAAAAATGAATAACCATTAATTGTGTTATCCAGAGAAGCTCTG